ACTGTCAACAAGTTACTTCAGGCGACACGACTTTAGTACACTAGGGTCAATACTTAGTACTCTTAGCTCCATCTCGCAAGCTCATAACTTGCGTATGAGAAATGAAGAATGCACCGCACTAGCCAGCACCACCAGAGTAGGTGCTCTCAAAGAAATCCTAAAGAAACGAATGAATCGCCAAAGCCATAAAATTTCTCTCCTTATAAACAAGGGCAAACTATACAGCAAACATGCAGACATGTGTGAACTGTTTAATGAGACGTTTGCAGCTAACCACCTTAAGCCCATAAGCCCACTTCTCGGTTTACAATCTACAATAGAACTCCCTTCTTATTCAACGCTGAAACAAATCAGTACAGTTCATTTCACTTATTCTAATATTAACCAAGCCATCAATACTCTTAAAAGCCCTAGTAGTGCTGGTTTTGATGGTATACCATCGTATCATTATAAACACGGTGGTTCTGACATTTCCGTTTTATTACTTAAGATCTTCACAATGTGTCTAGAAAGCCAAACCTATCCAGATAAATGGAAAACGACATTTATAGTACCTAAACACAAATCCGGATCAAAAACTGAAGTCAACAACTATAGGCCAATCAATATTACACCCATAGTATCTAGAATCATTGAACGAATAGTTAAAGATGATATCCTCAAACATATGCTCAGCTGCAATATTCTAAGTCTAAACCAACATGGATTCTTAAAATCCAGATCATGCGTGACATGTCACCTTGACTTCTTTAACTATATAACTAGCAGCCGAGACAAACAACAACTAGTACTAGTCATCTACTTTGACATCTCCAAAGCCTTTGACCGCGTTGACCATTTGCTTCTAATAAATAAGCTAAACTCTTTAGGAATAAGTAACCCATTATTAGGATGGATTGAATCATTCCTTAACAATAGGTCCCGAGTAGTAAGACTGGGGTCTGTAAACTCTAAACCTAGTCCAGTCACTTCTGGAGTAGTTCAAGGTAGCGTCTTAGGCCCCCTCCTATTCACACCATATGTCAACGACATATGCAGCTGTTTCTCACTTGGTAAACCATTCATCTTTGCAGATGATCTTAAAGTAGCTTACACATTCCACTGTGATGACTTAGGATACTTTCAGAAAGCTGTTCAGGAAGAACTAGATCGAGTAACCGCATGGTCCTCCACATGGAACCTAAAATTCAGCCCTAAAAGATGTGGTTGGATCTGTTTCGGTGCACCCTCAATAAATATCAAACTGGTACTTGAATCTGTTGACTTGCCTAAACTCCAAAGTGTTGCTGACCTAGGACTCAGGTACTCTAGTGACTTGACATTTTCTGAGCAAGTGGTGACACAGACGCGTAAATCGAGGATGCTATTAGGATGCATACTCAGGAATTTCCACAACTACGAGGCGAAGCTGTTATTATATAAAACTTGTGTCAGACCACTACTTCAATATTGTCCATTTATTCTCAGCAGCACTCGCGTAAGTGACAAACTTAAAATAGAAAGTGTCCAACGATACTTCACGTCTAAACTACTAGGATTTGACTGCGAAAAGGACTACACATCAAGGTGTATAACTCTAGGTATCGACCCACTCTGGATGAGACGACTGAGCATTAACCTAACATTCTTCTTTAAAATATTGCATAAAATATCATTCTCAGACAGCAAGGAGATACAGTTCTCACCGGAAGGCTCTTACAACCTTCGTAACCAAACGTGCACAGTATCTAGGAAAAACTGTAAGACAGCACTCCATACAAACTTCTTCATAGTCATGTACTCTAAGATCTGGAACAGTTTACCCCTAGAAATAAGGACCTGTCACTCTATTATAACCTTCAAACGCTTGCTATATAAACTGCTTCATCCCAATGACTATGCCAATCACACCGCACCACTTATTTCCAAAACGCATGAGCTATTAGAACACTATAACGCCTAGACTCATTATTAAATATTACGACACTAAATAAACTCTAAGACTTCGCAAAATTACATGAAAAACAACTAGATTATGGGTAGTGTTTACTATACAATGATATACATTTATATGTACATAAAATAATAATGTTCTTTCCATATTTACATACTTTATCTCCCTGCTGAGCGTAATCTTCTATATACCTCCTGGTCGAGGTCGAACAACCCAACATCTAAACTGAAATGACCATTTATGTAAATTCAAACTCAAATTCCATGAACGATCCGATGCAACCACTTGAAAACGTTGGCTAACATTCTGTACAAGGATTATTCTTGATCTGATATAAAGAAACAACTGGTTTTCAAGTAGTTTCCAATGTATTACTCAACTTACATGTACAGTCTGCCATGCTGACGCAAATGGCGCAAATGGATAGTTCTGGAATTGACCCTATTTGATGCAGTAAAACAATCTGACATTACCTTATCTAATTTTCGTATCAAAGATCAAATTTCTTTCCTATTATAAAACTACGATAAGACTGCTGACAAAAATGGAATAAATACATTATTGACTCAAAATAATACATCAATAAACTTTAACTCACGGATGCTGTTCACAACAAAGTTTTATAGGAGAATTGACTTCAAGCTTTATTTTTCCCAGATATTTGTATCACATTCATCTGAAGTCTGGGTTTTTTGTTAATGCGAAGACAATATTTCTATATCTCTCTGTGTCAAGTGTATGTATAATCTCCAGCGAACATGTAAAGCATATCTTGCTACTGCCTGCAGATTGTGATTGAATTATGTGGTTCTATTTCTGTAACAATTTGATGATGCCTGTAAACTGGCGTCCCTCATGTACTGTACTATGAGAATAAATTTATTTATTTATTTATTCATATTTTGGCATTGCCTGCACGTAGAGACAGAGACAAGGAGCCAACACAAACCCTCACTGCAGAAAACCATTAGTCTCAAATTCAAATAATTTTCACCTATTGTAGATGACACAGATTATTTATTAAGACTCCGTGGCGCGTGCTGCCGATGAGATTTGTCGGTAGCATATCGAGAGACATTCATCAGCATAATGATATCAGATAGAGGGGAAATGCATTTGACGTTAGTCAGAGAAATCAAATGATTCAGCGTTGTGGAGGAACAGAGGAGACGTGAAAGGAGCACAGAGAAGCACAGTATAAAGGATTGAAGAAACACAACGTGAAAGACATGCACAAATGGTGAGTTGAAGATAAGATGTGTGTAATTTCACCATATAGGGATATCAAATTCCAAATAAATATCTCTTTACGAAGTCTCTTTTCTCCTACCGCTGCAACACAACTGAGAGTACAACTAAGTATATATATATCTGTTGTCGTTCACCCCTATTATTTTCTTCTCCAAAAGATCGACATATATGAAAACGGAAACATATAAAAAAAATTGCTTCAGCTTGAAAATGTCATGTAACGTGGAGTTATATTTCGGTCAAGTTTTATTCTGTAAAACCAGGAACCATACTGCGACATAAATAAGCCCATGTCGTGCCAAAAGAAGGCTGTTAGCAAAATTAAAGTCTACATATCATTGCACTGACGGGTGAGTTAGCCATCCAGATTACAAACCCGGACTAAAACAGGTGCAATCATCTGTCCATTTTCTCTCCATAGGCAAGATTTCTGTCACAGTGTCCTCCCCCGAAATAAATAGAAAAATAATGTGACACTAGGGAGGGTGCGAACAAAATCAGGTCTGTGGAATTCAGTTTGAGTTTTACTTGTGTAGTGGTTGAGACATGATATATTGTGTTAAGTTCGTTATTCTGCCCACACATATTTCCTTACTGCCAGTGACTTAGTAAGTTCTTTAAAAATACAGGTTGGCTAGAGGTTTGTCATTGCCAGAGATTCGGTGTGCAAGACCTAAGCAATCAAAAGTATGACGTAGTTTCAAGTGGCCAAAACCGATCTTGAAAACCTACCTGGAAAGATGACAATATTGTTGTGATACTCACAAGTAACATAAGAAGTTGCACGATATAACGGATGCCAAAATAAACAAAGGCTTGACGGAAAATTTAGTTTACGATCATTGGCAATTGTGTGATACAGGATGTGCAAAATATGAAGCAACCTAAAAAAGGCTCGCATAGGAAATTGAATAGGAAAAGTGGGTGAAAAAATAGGTCGACTAATGACAGTATTGCTCTGTATAATAAGATACTAGGTGAACAACTCTAACGAGTTGTAGATAATCAAAATAACGATTCATCAGGTGACGTCATAGTACTGATCGAGCTTAAGTTCTAAAGTAAAGTTGTCCAAATCTGTATCCATGAGGAGGTCGCTCGTAAGAGGAGGGTCTCTGCTGAATAGAACACTAAGGTCACTCGCAGGCAATTAGGGATCCAGAAGGACGATACCTCTTTGTGACTTGCAAGGAGTTATACACAGTATTCTCCTATCCTCATCTACTATGCACCATCGCTTCTTAATACGATGATGGCTAGGCTGGTATCACATACCATTAATTGGATACAAGGAAACCCATGAAACAATTTCGTTATAATGTGTTACTGAGTTAACACACTTTCAATAGTGTATTACAAGTGTGGCAGGTAGACATCGTTCAATGAAAAAGAAATTTATTTCTCTGAGACCTAAATTCCCTTAGCACATTTGATTTGAAGAGTGCCCTAGAAATTTCTAAAACAATTGAGGGTAATTGGGATTATTGTGAGTTTAAAGGAAGGCCTTGTGTTAGACGTCCTGTGTTCTTTCATCTACTGTAAGTTAGATAGCATTTAAGGATACAGATAACTGCACCATATACCGATTTCACCTCTGAATAGGTAAAATTTAGTTTGAATGTGAACTGTGAACGTAAATTGAATTTGTTTCCTGCTTTGTTTTACTAAGTCATTACTAAAAGTTTCAGCGTGGCGATTTGAAGGCTCAAGGTTACACCACAGGGTAGTTCTGCGTTTCCATTAGAACTTTTGTGTAAACTTCAATGAACGTCTAATGAATAAGTTTCTGTCGACGTCTCACATTGACTGGCTTCTAATGGATAAATCTACAGTCGACCCGAACCTGAATTCAATCGACCAGAATGCAGGTAATAATTATGTTAGCGATCTTATTTTCCTAAGATGTATTGCCGGAATCTATTGATTTCTTTCCAGATGTGTGTATAGATACTCACAGTGAAGAATTGAGTGCAAATGGCTCCTGCATAAACCAATCGGAGGTAGTTTGAAGTCAGATTTCGTATAATGTAACTGATAATTTTAGGTTGATAGGGTCTCATTCGCCGACTCAGAATATCCTGAATCATGGGAAGCACCTGTTTGTACTTCTGGGACCACTGAAATACCTTCGGTTGTATCTACAAAGTGTTCAGATTTGGTTAAGGATCTCAAGGAGTCATCTCGAAGTACTCCTAACATCGTGTGTAGTGATAGTGAAGGTTTTGGTACCATGAAAACCCAGGAAATTGTTTCTTCACAGCATTGTTCGCTGAAGGGGACATGCGAAGATATTTTCTCAGGCAGTGAAAAACACTGTGTGACAACTGAATACTCGCAGAATTCCACCTCCGTCTTAGATTCGTGTAATAAATGCCCTTCAGTTTCTCACGAAATGTCAGTTAAACCTCCATCCACCAATCAGACAATTCATTACACCTCGTCAGAAACAAGGATTAATAACTCATCTGGGCTGTCCCAATCTTCAGTTCCTAATTACGGCCCATTGAATTGCGGATCTGATTTTTCCAGTGTTGAGGTTGATTCATTAGCTTCATCGTCAGAACGCTCGACAGTATTCGCGTCTCCTGCAAGTTTACAGGCTTTAGATCCACTAAAGCCGCGTAGAATGTCGGAAGTTGATTTTCAAAGAATAGAAGAACTCAGAACTATATCTCCAAGTTCTAGTCCTATTTGTCGTCGGTCGGGTCCTATGAAAGTATCAAGTCCCTTGTCTTCCTCCACGGCTCATCATTGCAGCCTCTGTGGAAAGCAGTACCGTCATGTTGCTTCTTTAAGGAATCACATGCGAAAGCATACATCAGGCATCTTAACCTCAAAGCGATACAAATGTGACCATTGTGTTTATTCAAGTCAGTACCATGGAAACGTCATTAAGCATATGGATGCAACTCACCGTAGTCATGAGATGTTCTCGTCAATGAACACACCCCATTTCTCTGACCTGAGTGCTAATTCATGCGGCACACATGAGGATATGCAGCCAAATCTTACCAACTCTCGTGTTTGGATCCCCTACACTAAAGTAGAACAAAATTTGTATAGTACAATGTCAAATGCAACCACTTCAAAAGACTCTACAGGTTTTCTAAAGGTAGAACAATACATAGGTAAGCTTTCATTATTTTGTATATGTTGTCTTTTAGATCCTCAACTTACATCACATCAAACACAACCATCTTATGATCCTAGGATATTAAATAGACACTTTGAGGATGATTACGCAATCAAAAACCCAGGATGTATCCCTAGTAAGTTACTCATTTTGATTCTATTGAATTTTAGTCCATCATAATATCTCCAAATCCTTACGGTGTGAAATATCTGGTTGTGAACAAACTTTTCAATCGGTTAAGTACCTGTCTAATCATATGAAAGATTCACATCGAGACTTGAAAAGATTCAAATGTCCACTAGAAGGATGTACATTTGGCGGCTTACGTCGTATGCATCTGAAGCGTCATATTAATGAATTTCATAGCCGTATGCTAAGCTTTTAAACTTACTTTTGTTGTCTTTCCACTGCACTGAAAAATATTTTCGCTGTGATTTGTGCAGCGTTTAACACACTTCATATACGTATATGTTGACCGCACATTTATCCAGGCGTAGTCGGTATCCCATATCCTCATCCCTCAAACCAATCTGCTTTAATTTGTTAAAGTGTTTGTCATAATGTATGTCTGAATTACGTTGTAGTTGTATAACAGCTGTTATTTATTATTGCAGTATGCAGCCGTGCACATTTTCCACTCATTGGAAGGCATGTTGTTTCTATTTGTAATTATTCTCACATGTCCTTCCAATCTCCTTTTGACTTTTCCCCTTTTTCTCTACTTCCACGTAAATTGCTGCGTTGAAATGAAGTCAGTATTATCTCCTTAAATAAGGTGGTAATGTATCTTCATTTCTCTGTTATTTGTGATAAATTTAATTAGTGCTCCATCTTACCTATTGTTTCTTACACTTATCAAACAAGTAAATCGTGATTGTTGTATTTTGATAAACAAAACTGTGCACGTGTGGTGTTAATTAGAGCGGGATTTAGGATGTGTTTATTGGAGATTGATTTCATAAGCCAAGTCAACTAAAGGAAATAGCTTCATATGTTAATAGGTAGATTTCAACTAACATTAACTGTTCATTCATGTCAAATTTTTCGTATTTCTAAGCAACTGAAAAAATCAAATGGTATTGTTTTTATTGATATAAGTATAAATTTTGGGCGGTAGAGTGTAACTCCATTGTGGATGAGATTGTATTTTGATAAATCACACACTGTTATACAGTGATATTAACTGATGACCACGTTTCGAGCACAAAATATTGCCACTCATAATCATATCAAGTCACTCACACAACTTTTCTACTTCATTTATATACGTGAGTGGAACTGATTAGACATTTAAATAAAAAATCAATATATGATAGTGTAAATTCAGAAATAATAAAATGAGTGCTATTGATCAAATACATTCAGATGAGAAATAAGACGAGTGTTTTTATAGTCAAAATAAGTAACTTGTTGGAATGTACGTGAATTGAGATAGAATTTCGTCTTATTTCCCATCTGAATATATTTGATCAATAACACATTATTTCTAAATGTACATTATCTTATATTGATTTTTTATTCAAATATTTAATCAATTCCATCCATGTTTATAAATGAAGAAATCGACCGTCCGTCTACGCATTATAGTTGCAGACCACAAGTTTAATTTTAATAATACTGGAGTTCTTCAGAAAAATGTTACAAGAACATCTCTTATCAGAAGTATTTCACATTTAAATGGAATCCAAATTGTCTGAATAGGAATGACGAACTAAAACAGAATTTGATCTGGTCCTAACCCGCACCCCACCACATGAAGTAGTAACAAAATCAACGCGCAATTTCATTGCGTAAATACGTAGTGTTTTTATGATTCATACATTTATCAAATGTTTATATACATAGAATATTCTAGAATAGTAGTCAATAACAATATTAGTGTTTTTTAAATAATATCGATTTGTAAAGTAAGATCAATGCAATTACAGTTCATTAAAGATGCTTAAATTATAATAAAAATAACGACATAGTAGTAAATAGGATATCAACTAAAATTAGCAAAATTCTACAAAAATTCAGGATCATTCAAACCTAGATGGCCAAGGTAAGGACAATGTGTGAACTAACTTCTTTTGGATGCACAAATTAGGCTTGTTAGTATGGATCCCAACAGCCAGCGTCAGCAATATTGTGTTTTATATATGTCTGAATGAATATTTTTGCTATATTAAATATTAGCTTGGTTTGAACATAATTAGCAGGAATTGTTTTTAAATGATAACTATCATATTGGAAGGTTTAGTGGTCATGTGGGACCTATTCTACCAGACTTTACTACCTCCTTGAAAGGTTTGAGATTCCTTATTATTACTATTATAGGTTCTTACAGAATGGGATTCCTAGCCTGGCGTTGAAACTTCCCTCTTTTCTGGGTTTGCTGCTGGCTAGACAAGGTTTAAGAGAGTGTGTCGGCTAGAATTGAACTTGGACAGCGTGTTCCTGGTTGTTTGATGAAAATTCTATCACCGACATTCTCGTGATGTACAAGGTGGCTGAATTCCTGTTAGTGTTATGAAAATTTACAAACCAATGATTTTTGTAATTCAATTGATTAAAGATACCCATTGAAAGAATTTTAAGACTGATTAATGAACAAAGAATATTCTTCTCGATAACGCCTTCTTCATCAGGTTCTACAGTTAGATGTCCATAATAATTTTTTTAAATGTTATTAGTAACACTAGTGTTTGTTAGATAACAGTGAATCAATAAAATCTGTAGATTACAGTCCAGCGACATCTGTGAGTGGTAATATGCATCAATATGCAACACTAAAATGTGAATATCAGATAAACTAAGAATAGGAATAGGGAATTCTTTGGTTTCAGAGGAGACCAGGGTAGCCAAACTGCCTAGACCTGCTTTTTTTGCACACAGAGCTCCAGTTGTTTCAGGCGAATTGCAATAGCCTCTGGGGTTTAGAGTGTTCCGTATCTAATGGGCTTCGATAATTTATTCGATGGTAGAAAAAGATTCTTCAGTACTAGCTTTGTGGCCTGTTTGAATGACGTTGTCCCCCCCAGCCCAATGTAGAACTATTGGTGGTTTTTATTATATTATTCTTATTGTTTCCTTTAATTCCTAGAGAAACATAGGGCTTCAGCTGTGCGTCTCCATTGCGTTCGGTTCTCTGCTAGAGTCTCCACCTGGCTCCATGTCTGCCCACACGTTTTCATCTCCTCTTCACATGACCTCGAAGTCACCCTTGGACGACCAACTCGCCGCTTCCGTTTCGGTTTCCACTTGAGGGCTTGTCTAGTGATGTCACTTGATGGTTTCCTCAGAGCCAGCCAATTCATCTCCATTTCTTCCTGCCTATTTGTTTCACAATCGGTTCCTGCTGAGTTGGTTCGCTAATTGCCAGAGATCTCTGTTGGTGATCTCTTCCGTCCGGCCATCTGATCTTGAGTGGTATTGAGCGAAGACAACTGTTAATGAAGGTCTGCAGTCTGTTTGAGATGTTCTTTATTCCGCGCCAAGTCTCTGATCCGTATAGTAAGTAGCACTGACTTCACATTGGAGTTGAAAATCCGGATCTTATTTTTATGCTGAGTGTTGTTGACCTCCACACAGACTTGAGAGTAGTGACAGCTTGTCTTGCTTCTCTGATTCTTGCTTTGATATCCTCGTCAGTTCCGCCTGTAGTTGAAACGATGCTTCCCAGGTAGGTAGGTAAAGGAGGTTGTTTCTTTCAGGTTCCCTCGATTTATGCTGATTGTTGTCTGTTGTTGTTGCTGTTAATGTTGACCAGGAATCTTCATCACCTACCTCTATTTTCTCTATGTTCACCTGAAGTCCTATCTTCTCTGGATGCTTCTTCTGCCAACTTGTTGCTTTCCGCTTGCATATCTTCCAGTTTGTGGGAAA